ACCGAGTTATAACATGTTATAACGGTTGTCAAATAGTTGCAACACAGAAAACACCCTCAAGATAGCGCAATAACATCACCGACAAACCGACATGAAACTTAAACTCTTGATCGAGAATCCATAACGGCCTATTCAAATGTACAGCGATCCCATCTGTCAAAACCATAGAATTTTTTTATCTAGATAAAAATAATTTGTATGGAATAGATTCGACTCGAACCAACTCATAAATTTTGTACGCGTGTTCGTGGCTAGGATAAATATTTCCCGCGAACACGGCGGCAGATGTCAGTTTTGCGCTTTAATCAGAAATTTCTTTGTATTTTGTATGATCATTCATGTCGGTTTAACGCTGATAACATGTTATAACCATAGAGGTAACTCTAAGACTAGTAGGTCCAGAAGAAACAAGCTCAACTTTTTGGCTCAGCTCTGGTACTATCTTCGGTCCCAAGCTAATCGATTCACTCCTCGAAACATAGGAAAATCCACTAAACCCTCATTTTATCTGTCAAACATTCATAGCGAATCAAAACAAACATAGTGTAGCATTGGAATTTATACTAGAATGGGGTACGTTAGTCGATTTGCTTGGGACCAATAGGCTAGTCAGGTAGTGAGCCAATTTAAAATCGTTAGTTTCGAATTGATTGTTGTTATAACTCTGTAGTCTGAACAAGGCATAAGACAGCTGATGTAAACATTGAGAAAATATGCTCCGTCCACATATGTAGATGTTTGACTTGTTGCGCAGCAAAATAATCGTGATGAATATTCAACAAGCGCGTACATGTAGGAATTATAAATTTATTATATTATTTAATTTTTAAATTAGGCAAGCTAATCATCAAAAATTCAACTTTCATTAATGATTATTCAAATAAGATTTTTTAAAGCATACACTGTACCAAACCACCATCCTCTGTTCAAATGAAACCTCAGACCATTCAAATCGAAACATCGAAATCGCTTTTTCGAATGATAGCTGCAACCGGATGACGGTTGTTTTGAAATCAGATGATTTTCCTCTCGAATACAGGATGAACACTGTTATAAGAAGGGATAGGGCCTTCAGTTGGAATGCGTAATGCTCTCTGCAGAATGATAGTCATCTTAAATTGAAACGCATTTGGTATTGGTTCAGCCCATTAACGCAAATCAGTCAAACGATGATGTAAATAATTCTATCGAACGTCATTTGCTGCTCTGAGCAGACAAACGAGGTGGAAGCATAGCCATCGCTATCAGAAAAGGTACGAACATTGGTAAATGGTGGAAACCGTGTATTGTCTATTTCGTGGTGGAGAAAGATTCCTCTACCAACTAGTGATTTTTATATCCATGATGAATGGCTGCTCATGGCTATTCAATATGGAAATGTAAACAATCGAATTAATAATATAATCTAAAGCACTTGTAGGTCATCTTATCCTTAAATTTTTGTCTTTTAAACCCAGTATGTTAAACAGCCAATTTTAAAATAAATATCATCCTTTACTTGGAGGACAGTCATATGGATGCTCATCAGTTGATGACTAATTCAACCATAAGGAAATCATCCGAAATTTGACAACATATTGTTAAAAGGCTCGAGCAATACAATAATCAGTTGATGTATTGCGGATGTTTTCGTTCAGTGTCCTAGGCAGAGGATTGTTGGTACTACAGTTTTCGAAATTTATCAAGAAAAGGCTAATAGCTAATTTGTTTATTATTCAGTTCCAACCAGGATCAGGTATCAACATCGGTTCTGCTTGTTTTTTTTTTAAACGACAGTTTGATCGTTTGTTTATAAAACCTACCTCAGGTTGAGGATCGCACTGACAAAAAGTTCGGTTACACACTGCACCAACCAGTTTCAACCCCGATAAAAAACAAATTCGCTATAAGATAACCCGCATACATGCGAACCATTTCTTGACCTTACCCAAAACGGTTAAAAATTGTTTATAATTCCTGATAAAGTTTTAACCTTATATATTAAGGTTTTTTGGAAGCGAACCTTACAAATAATGGGTTTTTAAGATTCTTAATGGTTTTGGCTAAAAAAAATGTTTTATGAAATTATGGAATAATAAGATATTATAAAAATATTTTGTTTGTGTAAGCAACAGGAAAAGATTTTGGAGGTTGTGTTTGACACATAATACCAGCCAGGGCTCTACATTTTCGAAGTTCTAAAATGAACGCAAGTTTTGTTTCTCTCATACACACGTGTTCAACGCTTCATTTCTATAACGCCTAGCTAGACTATCAGCAAGAAATGATAATGAAAAAGAAGCACGATAAGAAGGAAACGCTGGCTGTGGATCTTCTCGTCGTTGCTTTGCTCATCGCTTTTAATGTAAGTAATGTCGATTTTCTAGTTAAACGAAACCTCATTATGGCTTTCAATCCCCTTTCACGAACACTCTATCACCATTCTTTCAATTTGTTTAAAATGCGTTATGTCCCGTTTTCGTTAATTTTTTTAGATAAATATGTGGATGGAAGATAAATTAAAAATATTACGTGTAATCTTCAAGTGTTTTCACGTGAGTAGTGCTTTAAATGTGTAATTTCATTTTCCGTCATATACGTCATGAAACCTCTGTTGATGTGTTTCATGAGAGAGAAAACTATCAAAGTCGAGCGCTCTTTCGCTCATCCGTTTCACCGAAGTTTGAAAGGAAGACTAATGGAGCGACGGGAGAAAGAGAGACAAGCGATTGAACATTTGTTTGTCCACGCCGACTGAGGTTCTAGAATGCTGCGAAGCTGTTCGACTTTAACAGAAAAAGAAAGCCAGCAGTCTCTTCGTCGCATCGATTTGGTCGATTGAAACTGATATTGCGACGCCCTGATACCAGCCAATGTTACTGCATGAGAGTCGCAACAAGCGATTTTGTCATTTATCTCACCTACTCTTCGCTCTTCACTCTTCGCGAAGAGGCGATCAGAAAATCGCTAATTGTGGCTCTGTCAAAGCTAAATTTGCAGGTTTATGTGTCAAACACAAACTTTAAAATCTTTTCTTGTTCCTTACACATACATACCATTCCCATTCAAAATAGTTTTTTTCTCCATACATTTTGTGAAGGGAATTATATTGAGCCATTTTATTTATGATCTGATAACTTCAATGGTAATGGTTATGGTAGTCGGTTAGGTTCATAGATGGTTTTGTAACATCCCTCAACTTTATGTGGAATATATTGCGAATTGGTTGCCTGTAAATTACTGATTACCAATTCGCGATATATTCCACGTAAAGTTGACCGATATTACAAAACCATTAATGAACCTTACTGGCTACCATAACCATTACCATTAAAGTTCTCAAACAATAAATAAAAAGGTTCTAATATAGTCCTCTCTCCGAAAATGTATGGAGAAAACAACTATTTTGAATGGGAATGGTTCTTAACAACCCATTATTTGAAAGCTAACATCCCATAATACATAAGATTTAAACTTTATCACACAAACGTTCATGTAAAGTTCCATAACCATATTTCAGTTACAGTTTAGCAGGGATTATAAACAAGTTTTAACCATTTTCGGTTAGTTCAAGTTATGGTTCGCGTTTATGCAGGAAGTCATTTCAAACTTGCCGTTACACGTTTTTCGGAGGTTTCTTAGTCGGCGTAAAGATTTTTACCCACTCTTAGATATAAGATTTTTTGATTACTGTAACTAAACGATTACATGAAATATGAACAACCCTCTATTCTTCATAGTTAAGCTTTGCAGATCGCTTTATTATTGGTAAATTAAGCAATTTTTAAGCATGGAGTGATCAGTCAGTTCACAGTGGGGCAACTCAGGAAAACTTGGACAACATTCTGAAATACCTAGCAAATAACCATCAAGGGTTTCCTTCGATCAATTTCAAAACTACGAACCAGTTTTAGTCAAATTGTAAAGTTTAAACAAAATCTATTAAATCACATTATATGACCATCTTTGGTGGCATTTTAATTAGTAAGAAGGGTCGGATTACACAATAGATGGATTAATACAGTTTATTTTTTTTTATTTTTTCATCCTTCCAGGTCAAAACTGCTACGTGTGCCATATCTGCGGAAAATCCTACGAATACCCGAACCCGCTTAAAATCCACATAGCCACAGACTGCAGCCAGCAGTCGATGACCGTCCTGTGGCAGCGTCTCCTTCACAGCATCTCCCGCTACAACTTCGCAACCGGTTGCGAATTTCAACCGTGGCGAAGCTCGGCCTTCCGTCCGGTACTCAACACCCACGCTATGAAAGTGGAACTATCACCGCCTCATCCTCCACCGCCACCGCCGCAGAACAAATCACCACTTTTGGAGCAACCTTCACTGCACCATCACCACCACCATCATCACCACCCGCACAGTCCACTGGTCGACGATTCCACCATGGTGACGGCTGCGCATCTCGAAACGATCGTCAGCAACATGGGCTCCTCGAAGCAAGGTCACATCTGCATCTACTGCGGGAAACTGTATTCCCGCAAGTATGGATTGAAGATACACATCCGAACGCACACGGGGTTCAAACCGCTCAAGTGTCAGTACTGCTTAAGGCCTTTCGGCGATCCGAGCAATTTGAACAAGCACATTCGATTGCACCGGCAGCACGATAGCTCGCTGTATGAGTGTAATTTGTGCGGAAAAAAGCTGGCCAGGCGGAGGGATTTGCAAAGACATCTTCAATCCCGACACAACAGCAATCAGGTGATTGAGAGTTCGACTTCCGAGGAGGAGGAAGAAGTTACATGACTTTGGTATAGCAATGGTTATCAATTATTCCAAATCTAAGCTACTTCAAATACAAATACAAACAGTGCCAAATGAGTTAGTTTTAAGTATTTTTAAATTGTTGAAATACATACGAATGAATATTTAAGCTACGCTTATTAAATATCCGAAAATATCTGCTGTGATGTGTTTCAACATACTGATGAAACACAATCACCACTTAAAAACTACACCCTATTAAAAAAAACTGGAGAGTATTTGCTATATTTGGTTCAATTGTGAGTTCGTAGCAATTTCCTGCTCAATATTTAGTTATAAACATTACAAGTCCTCCATCGCTAAAATGATGTTCTGGAGAGCGGTCCGAGCGTCCGATGGAGGCAACTCATTTAGCACCGCCATGGCCGCGAGGCTATGCTTCTTCTGCAGGTTGCACGTCTTTTCCAGACCAGGTCCCTTGATCACTTCGCTGTGAATCTTGACGTAGTCGATGTTGTCCACTGATTCTCGTCCCATTTTGATGATTTCCTCGTACAACGTTGGATCATGTTCTAGGTGAAACATCACCGGTGCGGAGATGAGACTGAAGCGAACTCCTGGAATGATAAAAAACTAATGTTTGAAAATTCTCCTACAAATGCCGTCAGATTGAGATCAAGTACCTGGCGAGAGGTTGGGACTGCTGAATGGCTCCATATCGATGCAAGCCTGCCAGGCCAGTGATAGGTGCTTTCCGAACAGGTAAGCCTGCTTTTGCAGTTTCACCGGTTGGCCTGCTAGAATCAACGCTCCCTGGCAACTTTTGCCCAGCAGACTTCCAGCCGCTAGGATATGCCTCAACGACCACTCCCGCTCGGGATTCCCCAGCACGTTCTCGATGTTCAACGACTGTATATTATCTTCCACATCTTCAAATCCTAAATCATCATTGTTTGACTGCCCTGCCGAACTGGTCGACCCCAGTTTCGGGTTGGACGGCAGTGGGTTGTTCTGCATATCCCGATCGCCGATGAAGTTCGATTCAGCCAAATCTCTCACTGACGATGACATCAGCTCAATCAACTCCTGGTTATTGAGATCCGACAGCTTCGCAACAGAACTCCCCAGCAGATAATCTCCGCTGAGCAGAGCAATCTTGTTGCCGAAAATCATCTCGCTATCGCTGCTGAGTTCATTGCCGGAGTTTGCCAGTGGCTGTAGATTGACCAGTCCCTGATGAACGAGGGACGCGGTGCGAATCATTTCGGTAACCTCCGCCAGAGCACGCTGCGAGTGCAGCACGCCGGCACTTTTGTCCTGTTCCATATCCGGAATGGACGGGGCATGTCCAACGGCTTTCGAGATGAGCAGCACAATGAGGCCCCACGCTTGCATGTTGTTTTTGCCATTGTAGATCAGGATTCTGGAATGAAAAATTGTTTATAATTGATGGATGACGTAGTTTTTGGGATATTCATATTGGCGTTTTCGGAAGGGCTTTCATATGACAAACTTGAAACTATGCTGAATAATAGTGGGAGCGTGCAATTGGTGCCAAGTCGCATTTACCAATCGACTCAGCTCTATTAGATAGGAACATGTATGTTTGTATGCGAGTGTCTGACGAATTAAGGTGCGGCATGTTTCTCAGCAACCCCTGCACCAAATTGGATGCAGCAACCGCCAAATGGAAAGTTCCGGGCCGTGAAACTAAATTCGTCATGAAACTTGCCAAACCCATCATGCGATGTGAAGTCATCATAAGAATTTGAAAAAAATAGATCAATAGCAACTACTTTGGCCAAAACCGGACATGATCCAGGTATCTCTAACTCCTGAGGAAGTGGACAAAATCTGACTTGAAACCCATGATGTGGTATATCAAATCACATAAGAATTGAAAACTAAGATTATTGACAGAAACATTGAGTACTCAGGTCCACTATGGCCACACCTGGATATGTTCTGGGAGCTCCCTAAGAAGTGACCAAATTCTAATTTAGGCCAAAACCTATCGAGTCATATAAAATTACGACAGCAAGATCGATGGTAGTCGTAAAGAGTGCTTTGGTCCACATTGTTAACCACCGGAACGATCGAAAGTCAGAATCGCTAAGCCATAGTAAACAAAAAGCCAGCTAACACTATTCAACCCGACTGTTCACGCCAAATTCCCCTAATTTGAATCATATCGATTATATTTTGTACTTTTGTGAACAAGGCATCTCTAGTGAACAACCTCAGAACCAAAATTAGAAGAATAGAGGTTAATAATTGTATCATCACACTTTTGAAGCTTTATACAACCACTGTTCATCTAAAAGTGCTTTAAGTCAACTCAAATACATACAAATGTACCATTATAAATAGGCTACCAAATGTAATAAAGAGCCGAGTTATCTACAATCTGTTACCAAAGAGCATACGAATCTAAGTGTTTACTTCGCACCAGTGTCCCAGCGTACAATCTCAAAAGAAAGTCCTCCACGTCTGCCTTCCAGAACTATCCAACGTAAGTTTTTTGTGTTAACACCGACTTCAAACTGTTCAAACCAAAACACGATATCTCTCACACAAAGCTACAGATAATTTCGTAACATTGTCTTCATATCACCACAACCGATACTTTGTGGGATGTAGACGCAACGATGCTGATCATTAGCGGTTGCCCTGATTACTTCTCGAACAGGCATTAGGATGTGCACTGCTGGGGAATCCAAACTCCCCATGGCAGGTCTATTGGCCGAAAATTCGTCGTTGCGATTACCCGAATCCAAAAATTGGAATGTGTCAACAAAAATTAATTAAAATTTGAGACATGCACTGCGCAGGCGCAGAGATACTACAGTGTTGCCAGTAACATCAAACATCATGAAAATGACTAACCATGGGTGCCAAACTGTGCCCAAACTGTGGTGGATCGACCTGAAAAATCTGAAATATATTGCCTCATTTTCTTAAAATCTCGGACGCCCCAAAACTGCTCGACTATATGATTAATTGTCCACCTCTGAAAGTAACGCTCGCAAATTTGCGAATTGAGGGAACCGAATGTTTTATGCGAAACTCTTGTGTAGCTCGAACTATCAATCAAAAAATAAACAGGATAAACCAACGAATCACAAATCTATTTTTATACGATTTGCATTTCTACGATGTGCATTACACGGCCGATGAGAGTAGCTCGGTAACTGAGTCGAATTCAACTCAAAATTTCCGAAAGTAGGCATACTCAGTGAGTGAGTAAAATTTCCCTCACTTTTGCGGGTAAAATTTATTGAATTTGAGTACAATCTAGACTGAGTGAAATTACTTTCGAGTCTCCTCATGTTCAAGAAATTTTCCTTAGAAAAGCAACGAAAATATTCACTGAGTAACCCCACTGCAAATGTTGAGTCAAATTCGACTCAATTTTGAGTTACTCTCATTAGCAACAGCAAAGATGAACTTACTTGGCCGTTTTCAACAGCGGATGATTACTGCCGACGAGCTTCCTCAGGTGCAGTGCCACATTGGCAATCTCGTCGCTCAGCAGCCAGCGCAGACTCAGAAAAGACGTCGGATAGCCGACGATCTTTTCCGCTTCGCTCACGGCCCGATTCCAGTTGTGCTGCTTTTGGACGGGTTTGGCCGTTGCTGGTTGGTCGCAAACCGACGAGGTGGAACTAACTGCGCGCAGATTGACCTCTGAGGGACGATGGCCGGTCGCTGATCCCAACACGGTACTGCTGATTTTACTGACCATCCGCAGATGGGACTGCGGGATGCAGATGCGACTCAGGGACATTTTTCCCGGTTTCTGATATCGGAGCGTTTCCTAAAATGCCAAAATTTTGTATGTGGGAAGCGAGTTAAATTTAACGATTCACTGGGTTCGCTCACTGCAGATGACTGTCTGGTACTAAGGAAGGTTCATCGTGCGAGTGCTCTGGCTTCGCTACCACATAGTTCTTTCTAAGTATGCGCTCGAGTATTGGTGATCCGAAAGTGAAGATAACAATAAACTATCAAACACGTTTACCAAAGTGAGGATAACAAACTCTACATTTGAAATTGCGATTACTCAAATGCACTTACTTGTTTATTTTAATTAGCTTATTAATTATGGCTGAAATGTCTAAAAAGACTACATAGCCGTGAGTACTATTAAAAACGTCATAGAGCTCAATACCGCTCCTGACGCCGCACGTTCAATCTAGCTGGCTAAAGGTCGATTAAATGTGCGCACTAGAACCAACCGGTGGAAACTAACCATTTTAAATTGTACTTGACTAGCCTATTGCTCCCTTTACATCTATAAGCGTACCCCATACTAGTCGAAATTCTAGTACTAGACTATGTTTGTTTTGATTCGCTTGGGACCGAAGAGAGAACAAGAGCTGATCCAAAAAGTTGAGCTCGTTTCTTCGGGACCTTCTTGTCTTAGAGTTACCTCTCTGCTACTAGTCTTAGACTTACCTCTATGCTAGCACTTCTTCTTGAGATATTTTTTAAAATAAACTGCACGCCGTATGAAAAGTGTCTTTCTAATAAACCAACTTAACCGACGATGGAATCTTTCATGGAGTCAGCATCATTTGGAATGAGGCAGATCAATATTTTTCTCATTAGAGCCCCCTGAAATGTCTCACTAAACTAAATTACTTTGAATAGCACAAAAGCATTCAATTTTCCAATGGGTATAACCAAACCTAACTTCATTTAAAATTAAAAAAAAATCCAAATGCTTTTGTAAAAATAAAATCAATTATTATCTAATTACAAACAGGGAAACAATCATTCGAATTTCTAGTTCATTCCTTCGAATAGAATTAAAATTAAATATTGATTGACTCCGAATGTTAGTCAGTCCGATGCATCGTATAAAAAACTGTGAATAAATGCTTTATTACTTTCTATTCTCTTCAAATATCAGAATATCATAAAAAATTCTAATCCAAATTATTATATCCATGTAATTACCTAAGTCTGAGCAATTTCTTCAGTTTGAGATGCTTAAATGTATGACATCCGAACGCTATGTGATTTCATTACAAAAAGCATAAACAGAGGATCATTGTTTGTTGAAATTCAGTAAGCTTTTAAAGGTCCCCAATCGAGGTCGCAATCACTGCTATGAAATGGATATAATAAAATTTATTGATGCGCCATTAAAATAAAAGTAAGCCTCAATGTCATATTATTAGTCACAGAAAAGATGTAGCCAAAAACAAGCATCTTAGCGAGTTTTTATTTAAACGTAGTTTAGCAAAAAAAAAAAATCAACAAGGCCCCCCTAGGCCCCATTCAGATAAATTTTCTAGCTACGCCAATGATTAGAAAGCTACTGAAGGTCTATTGCTGCTTCTACTAACGCCGGTGGGAATTTTAGATCGAATCCTTGTCCTGCAGGGTTGCTCAACTCATGGGGTACTGAGACCAACTGCTTGATTGCCACACTTCGGCACAACACTGGGCACAGCTTTCGGCACTGATAACTGATAACGTACTCGGCATTTGGGCTACAAAATGGTGAGTTGACAACCTGGAAGGAGCGGAATACCTAGCCCTGGTCCTCACAAGTTACTACTTCACGCCTCCTCGAGTCATATGATAACAAAAGACTACCAGCTGAAATATGGACACAGCTGGGTGGCGTAGCCTGGGCAATGTTGCCAGTCCGGCAATAGCAAAGTGAAGAGGTGCGACGCGAACACTGGCGCGCTAACCATAGTGCGGTGATAGAGGAAATGCTTCACCAAACCCGAGCGTCTGTTCACCATGGAGGTGTGGCTCAAAACGGCGTCTGTTCTCCATGTTAGGAGCGGCTGATCACCATCCTAGTGCCAGCGTGGGACTCTAAACAGAGCTGTGCACGATGGTCCCCTGGCGAGACAGGGGGTTGGGGCAGGCCCAACAAGCCGCCCTGAAAAAAAAACAAAGTTGCAAATACCGAAGAAAGAAATACGGATCGGAACAATCGGCACAGACCTACGCGATGAAATAAGGACTACGATTGGAAACTCGGAACATGGAACAGCAAATCGCTCGGCTTCCCGGGCTGCAATAGGTTAATCTATGACGAACTTCAACCACGCAATTTCGAAGTCGTAGCAGTGCAGGTGCTGGACGGGACAAAAGGTATGGAAAAGCGGGCATCGAGCGGCTACTTTCTACCAGAGCTGTGGCACCACCAACGAGCTGGGAACCGGCTTTGTAGTGCTGGGCAAGATGCACCAACGCGTGATTGGTTGGCAGCCGATCAACGCGAGGATGTGCAAGTTGAGGATTAAGGGCCGTTTCTTCAAGCAGGTGTACGACGGCTGTTCGCAACGGGACGTCAAAATCGTCATCGGCGACATGAACGCTCAGGTAGGACGGGAGGCAATGTATAGACCGTCAATCGGGCCAAACAGCCTGCATGCCGTATCGAACGACAACGGCCAACGATGCGTGAACTTTGCAGCCTCCCGGGGTATGGTAGTTCGAAGTACCTTTTTCCCCCGCAAGGATATCCACAAAGCCACCTGGAGATCACCTGACCAACACACAGAAAACCAAATCGATCACGTTCTAATCGACGGGAAATTCTTCTCCGACATTATCAACGTCCGCACGTACCGCAGTGCGAACATAGATTCGGACCACTACCTAGTTGCAGTATGCATGCGCTCAAAACTCTCGACGATGCATAACACACGTCGAAGTCGAACGCCGCGACCCAACATTGAGCAACTACGGGACGCCGGAGTTGCCCAGGACTACGCGCAGCAGCTGGAAGTTGCACTACCCACGGAAGAGCAGCTTGGCGCAGCTTCTCTTGAAGATGGCTGGAGGGACATCCGTTCAGCCATAGGTAGTACTGCTGCAGCGGCATTAGGTACTGCAATCCCGGACCGAAGAAATGACTGGTTTGACGGCAAATGCAAACTGTTAGTAGAGGAGAAGAATACAGCACGGGCGAGAATGCTGCAACACCGCACGAGATTGAATGTGGAGCGATACAGACAAGCGCGGAACAGACAAAACTCGGTTTTCCGAAGGAAGAAGCGTCAGCAGGAAGACCGAGATCGCGAGGCGATGGAAAATCTGTACCGCGTAAACGACACACGGAAGTTCTACGAGAAGCTAAATAGTTCCCGCAAAGGCTACGTGCCGCAAGCCGATATGTGCAAGGACTAGGACGGTGGAAGCAGTACTATGACGAGCACCTCAACGGTGAAGCAGCAGAAAACGAAGGTGGCACGGCAATAGCTTGGAGCACGCGCAGAAGACGACAGGCTACCAGCCCCTGATCTTCAAGAAGTTGAGGAGGAGATCGGTCGGCTGAAGAACAACAAAGCAACTGGTGTAGATCAACTACCAAGTGAGCTATTAAAATACGGTGGTGAAGCACTGGCTAGAGCACTGCAGGTGTCGTATGCCCAATCTACAAAAAGGGCGACAAGTTGGATTGCTGCAACTACCGCGCGATCACACTGCTGAGCGCCGCCTACAAGGTACTCTCCCAAATTCTATGCCACCGTTTGTCACCATATGCAAGAGAGTTCGTGGGGCAATACCAGGCGGGATTCATGGGCGCCCGCGCTACCACGGACCAAATTTTCGCGATTCGGCAGGTTCTGCAGAAATGCCACGAATACAACGTGCCCACACATCATTTGTTCATCGATTTCAAATCCGCATACGACACAATCGATCGAGATCAGCTATGGCAGATTATGCACGAGTACGGACTTCCGGATAAACTGACGCGATTGGTCAAGGCGACGATGGATCGAGTGATGTGCGTTGTTCGAGTATCGGGGACACTCTCGAGTCCCTTTGAATCTCGAAGGGGCTTACGGCATGGTGATGGACTTTCGTGTCTGCTGTTCAACATCGCGTTAGAAGGTGTGATCAGAAGAGCTGGGATAGACACGAGTGGCACGATATTCATGAAGTCCATCCAGCTCCTTGGTTTCGCCGATGACATTTACATTATGGCACGGAACTTTGAGATGATGGCGGAAACGTACATCAGACTGAAGGCTGAAGCTAGACGGATGGGACTTGCCATCAACGCATCAAAGACAAAATACATGAAAGGAAGAGGTTCTAGGGAAGACAACGTTAGCCTCCCACCCCGAGTTCAGATTGACGGTGACGAAATCGAGGTGGTCGATGAGTTCGTGTATTTGGGCTGACTGGTGACCGCCGAAAATGATACCAGCAGAGAAATTCAAAGACGCATTATGGCAGGGAATCGTGCCTACTTTGGACTCCGGAGGACGCTCCGGTCGAATAAAATTCGCCGCCGCACGAAGTTGACTGTCTACAAGACGCTGATTAGACCGGTGGTCCTTTACGGCCACGAGACCTGGACTATGCTCGTGGAGGACCAACGCGCCCTTGGTGTTTTCGAACGGAAGGTGTTGCGTACCATCTACGGTGGAGTGCAGATGGATGACGGAACGTGGAGGAGGCGAATGAACCACGAATTGCACCAGCTGCTGGGAGAACCATCCATCGTCCACATTGCAAAAATTGGGTGACTACGGTGGGCTGGGCAAGTCGTAAGAATGCCGCACGACGTCCCAGTGAAAATGGTTCTAGAAAGCGACCCAACAGGAACAAGAACAAGAGGCGCGCAGCGGGCAAGGTGGATCGACCAAGTAGAAGGTGACCTGCGGACCCTTCGCAGACTACGAGGCTGGCGAACTGTGGCCATGGATCGAGTAGAGTGGAGACGACTTCTTTGGACAGCAGAGGACAACAAGGCCTTAGCCTGATTGGTAGGTAGTACGTACTCGGCACAGATTGAGATGTGCAAAGCTGAGTTTTCTTTGGAAATTCCCATTAT